GTATCGTCGAGTATCGTTGAGCGTCGTCGAACTTTCACACAGTTTACGTATTGATATAATTTTTTTTATTGATGCTGTCACTACAAGTATTTAGCTACTACAAGTGCTACAAGTACTACAAAGATTCTCCCCGTAAGGAGGTGAAGCGACCCGAGGAGAAAACTATGAAGTGGCATTCGATCCATACGTAACCAATTGAGTTAAAGCGCCGATTCGCTAAGCGTGACACTCCGCAGGAGGAATTATTTTATCTTATTTCCGGAGAGGGATTCACGTCGCCGCTCACGGCAGGAATCTCGCGAGGAATAGTATACTTCGAGAGGCAGCGATCCATCAAGAGTTATTAATGACGACCGAAGGGAGCGTCCAGCAGCGTCCTTGTTAATTAGGAAAGTTCGAACCGTAGTATTGTGTGTGCATTAAGGGGAGCGGAACGAACAAAGATGGATCTGCTTTACACCGTTAACAGAAGGAGTTCCTCCAAATTCTTCTCCAATCAAGAATGGTACGTTTCCTCGACTCTTTCGTCCTCGAATATAAACCTCTTCCCTCCCCCCCCCCCCAAATCGAGGATAGAACGATCAGCTGTTTCGATGTCGTGTCGAATCAAGTTGACAATTTATGGCGAAGGAGATGAGATTATTCAACCCCACAGCGGCAACAAGATCTCGGCGTGGTACAACAGTCCCGTGTCCACAACATATTTTCCAGCTTTCCAATAATTTCAAGTATATCAGGCCTGAAAGTAACATTTTCATTGGCATTAGAGTTACGCGTCGTGGTTGACACCTTTGTCAATTTTTTGTGCACACAGACTCAACGAAGATGTAAAACCGGACGTGAGCTCTTACCAGGGGTGAACCTCGAGTAAAATGTTACTGCCGACAAGAACGTAACTTTCGGGTCTCATAGCTACGACTTAAGGAAAATTTAGAGGAAAGCCCACTATCAGGACGTAGGATTCTAATGTGAGATAGAAGGTTTTCAACATCCGAATTCAATCAAAAATCTTTTGCGTAACGTTTACACGATCCAACGATGATTTTTCCACCGAATACATTTCGCTCCGTGGGCAACAAATTCGTGGTGAAACCAACAGACAATGCCTGTTCATTTAGCAGAAACTCTACTATCTCGTATTAAGAGCCTATCTTATAACAGGGGACTTTATAGCGTTTTGGAAAGCTAGTCAGCTAAAAGGACATGTAATGAATAGTACCATATTTTATGTATCACTCGTAGTAAAAGAGTTAATACATGAACAAAACGTTCCTCTCTCGCAGCACTTAATAATACTCTGAGGTGTGAACAAAGCATGCCTTTCAATATGTGAGATCAGAATGCTAACTGACAATTTGTTCTAGCCTGTACAACGGACAATCGTTGTGTTCCTTATCCAGTCGGAATATAGTGGCGTTTACCACGATGACGGAGTTGGACGACAGCAGCGGCAAGACACGGGGCTGCCACGTTTACGTGGCGGACTTGAATATGCCGTGGCACGCTCATAAGTAAGTACTCAGACCATACCTGTTAAATCGTCATCGCTGTAATATCCTCCCCCCCCCCCCGAAGGATATATTACATTACTTCCCGTATCTAATAGCGCTTTCGTCAAAGACAGGGTAGGCCATTTTAATCTACGCACTGAAATCTCTCAAAATCCATAAGTTTAAGACACAAATGTTTCAGACAAAAGTCGTATGGTTTCGAGGGGACCATAATAGGGTACCATTGGTTTGACCTTGAAGAGTTATTTGAAGGTCACACAAAGGTCACGTTTAATTTTTTAAACGGAACACCCTATGTATTTTTGCATATTCTTGTAGCTTACCTCGAGAGCTTTCCGAAACACTGTAATAAAATGTTTTTTCGTTAAGTACTTTTTGAGTTACAAAGCTTGAAAGTAACAGTACTGCCGGCATTAGTGTTACCCAAGGTATACCACGTGGAGGTTGCGCGGTCGGATTGCGCGGATCGGAACTGCAGCCACAACGGCCGACATTATTCTGTGCATAAAACCATTAAGAAAAGATAATAAAAAAATGAATATTTTATGAGATATTTTATAATTTATGTCGAAATATTGGAACCATCAAGCTTTACAACTCAAAAAGTTCTTGCTAAAAAAATATTTTATTACAGTGTCTTGGAAAGCTCTTGGGGTAAGCTACAAGAATATGCAAAAATATATAGGGTGTTCCACTTAAAAAATTAAACGTGATCTTCGTGTGACCTTCAAATAACTCTTCAAGGTCAAACCAATGGTACCCTATTATGGCCCTCTCGAAACCATACAACTTTTGTCTGAAACATTTTTGTCTTAAACTTATGGATTTTGAGAGATTTCAGTGCGTAGATTAAAATGGCCTACCCTGTATGTGCTGAGAGGGCCGAGCTAACGGTCACGTCTCTTGTGTGTCTCCAGAGTGTTCTCGAATAAGCACAGTATCACCGCACTAGAGTGGGATCTGCCCGGCGACAAGTTGGTGATGGCAGATACAGTCGGGAATGTGCAGCTGTGGATGTTCAAGGACCACATTTTGAACGATTGGGTACTAATAGGCTCCACGTACTTCCCTGGCGAGCACATATTAGGCGTGGCGTGGTTCCACAATGGCAAAAAGGTATCTAGACGAACGCTGCACGGCGAAGACAGTTTCCCCCACGAGTATTAGAAGAAATGGGGAATTGCGCGAAAGTTCAATTGATTATTATTTTGCGCTGCAAACCGAGAGGGAGATATTCAACTCGGGCGGACGCGTCAAACTTAACAGAGACACCCCCTTACTTTTCTTCCTTCGATGACTCCACAGACGGGGCTGGTGACGGAGAAGAAGGACAGCATCCATTACAGCGAGAAGTTTAACCACCTGCTGTTCGCACCTTCCGTCAGGCAGTTCGGCGGCAGGGCGGCCGAAGGCGTGCTGGTGGTGTCGACGACCGGTATGGTCGGCGCGATCATGATCAACAAGGACCTGCAAAATCCGATTTGCTACTCGACGGAGAGCCTCGGCAACACGCGGCACAGGATAACCGCGGTGGACCTGTGCTACGGAAAAAGTACTCTTTGTCATGTGTAAAGCGATTTGCGAATGTAGATGGTGGATGGTGAGACAGTCTATCACAAATTGCTTGGTGGATTTCAGACGGCCACTTTCTCGTCGCGGTCAGCAGCGGTAGCATCTGCCTGCCGATAAGGTGCTTCAGAGTGCTGGTGCGCAAGAACGACGACAAGTGCACCATCACCTCGCAAGCCTTGCCGAGCTTCTTTCTGCAGGACGGCGCGCCCAAAGATAATTCATGTAAGATCAATCGGTCAAACGACATTGTGGGCGGTTTATTCCTTTACGGCTGCGAGTGTTTTAACTTTCTTCGCAGGTACAGTCGTGACGCACTTAAAGTTTGTGGTCAGAGAGGATGCCGATTCTCTGGTCATCGCGGCGAACAGCGAGAGCGGCGGATTCGTCGAGGTGTGGGAGCTGCGGGAGAAGTCGCAACCGGTTCACAAGTTGTTTCAGCCAAAGACTCTAGAGCCTTTCAAGACGGTTGTAAGTGTTGGACTACCGTTCGACTGATATTTTCACTCGTCGCCAACAAATGCACTAGTCAAGTAGCAGATGTCAAGCAAGACGCATTCGATTGTATTTAAATAGCAATATTCAAATAGTATTTAATAGTAGCATAAATAATACATTTAAACAGTACTTAATAGAGATTTGTGACTACTTTACTCTTGGCGCGTAGGTTTGGCAGTATCAATCGCAGTATCGCTGCCAGTCACCGGTCACGGCGATTGCGACCACAAAGCTGTCCATAGTAACAACTTTACCGCCTCCGAGTTACGTAATAATAGCGTTAGCGGACTCGTCGGTGCACTGCTTGAATCGTCTCGACTGCCTGAAGGAAGTGGCGTTCTCGTCCTTGAACACAAGCTGGCGCCCGGACGAGCCTAGCAACAAATACTTCAAGAGCTCCGTGTCTATCGCCCACATGGATCTCTCGTGGCTGGGATGCGTACTTCTCGCGTGCGACACTCATGGCAATCTGTATCTCTATAAATTGTTACCGGACGGCACCACAGGTGAAACGTCGAATTTTCTTCATTTATATTTAAATTGATTCATCTCTCGCTCAGTCGCAAGCGTATTTCTGAGAGATCGCGAAATATACGATCGATTTATACGATTAGGTACATCGATGTCGTTGAACTACGCCTGTACTTTACTGGAGTATTGTTTGGTGACGGGATTGGATTGGTTGGACATACTTTTGTGCCTGAGGTCATCCGTGATCGAAGCACTGTGCGAGCGATTAGATGCCTCCTTCAACAGGCAACTGCAATCTACGCAGCAATACCATTACATCCAGTTTTTGTGCATCAAGACGTCGTTGTATAGGTAACTACGTCACGCACATACGGGCGTTTCTAAAACGAGTAAATTAATTTTCAAATTTACATTAAAAATAAAGAAAAGATGCGTCTCGACGCGGCATTTAAGAATTGCCTTTGAGGATCTCTTTCTGACGAGAGAAAGATTATTTCAAATTGTAAATCGGAAAGATTAAATGCCTGCAATTAACACTTCCAGGATGCTCATGACCGGGCAAAACAAGGCTGCTGATCTGTCGTCGTTGCTGATGATACACTCGGTAGCTACCGCCTTCAAGTCTTTAGTGAGGCCATCGGATCTATCCCACGACAAAGGCCCGACGGAGGCCCTAGCCGCGGTGATAACTGACATCACTACTGACGTTGATAAGGTGTTGAAATCGAACCCGCACATTCTTGACCAACTAAACTTGCATAAATCGTGTCTCTTGTCCTTGCTCTATTCTCCTATCGCATTTGCCATTCCATGCGTAGAATGAAAGTGCAATTACACAGATATACACGAACATAATTGCGCACACGGTAATAACATGTTTATTTTTTTTATTCTTATTTCGTGTGCAGAGGATGTAAATTAGAAGTGACCAGGCAGTCGAAAATAGGGAACTTGGTCGCTTCTAATTAGAACAAAACAAATTGCTGCTTTAATGATTGTCTGAAATGAAATTACTGATTTGTTTAATGTTTTTTTTTATTAGATATTGCTGCATATCGAACCGAAAGAGTTTACGGTAGAGCCGAGCACACTCCAGTCGCTACAGCAGCTTATTCAGTGGGTCGCCGACTTGGCTTTGAACTTGCTGGCCAGATTACCCGAGCAGAGGATGCAGGTGAAGACTGGCGGGGTAGGTATTTCTCATGGTTGGGAAGTAACTCGTTACTTGTAACGAAGTTACAGTTACAGTTACTTCTTTTTGCTAACTCTAACTTCGTTACTTTCTCTACATCTGTAACTGTAACGTAACTCAGTTACATTTTTTCGATAACTAGTAACTAATTTAATAGTTACTTTATATATTTTTTCAACCTGCACAGATCGCATTAGGCCTTGCATTTGCGCATAAACGCCTTTATCGCCGCTTTACAAATCAAAATGCAGATTCGATATTTTTATTTTTATTGCAAGGGAGTAACTGCAAAGTAACGATTCGTTACTTTTCGAGTAACTGTAACGCGTTACTTTTCAGAATTGGTAACTTGTAACTGTAACTAGTTACATTGTTAGCGAAAAAACTGTAACTGTAACTGGTTACTTTTATAAAGTAACTTTCCCAACCCTGGTATTTCTAACAAATACGGTCGTCCCCTCTGAAAATCGCAAGGAAAGTTTTAAACCCGGATTTTTAATACTTATCGCTTCCGGATACATTTTTGTAATGTTACAAAAATCTTTTGTGGCATCAAATATATGGTGGCAAATTTATATTGGCCTTCGCTAGCATATGATATAGCTTTCCATTAAAATTAATTAAAATTACTTCATGTTTCGAAAACATATATTCAGTTTAAAGATTGACATCCACTCGTGTCATATTAGCTTTAACTGATTACTTTTATTTTCTTGCTCAGTATGAGCTCCTCAAGGATCACAAGGCCTTGAATACCGTTCGTGAGTTACTGGTTATCATACGCATCTGGGGACTGCTCCGCCCGTCGTGTCTACCAGTATTTCTTCGTAGCGCCGACAACCTAGATGTCCTGGCCCTGCTGTTCTGTTTGTTAACAAAACTGGTGCAGCCTAACGGAGACGCGCAACAACAGGTGGACGACGGTTTAATTGGTACATTTATGATTTTCTTGGAATTTCTTAAAATTGCATTTAATATAATTTTTACTTATATCAAGCTCTACCAACTTAATCCTATGAAGATTAATTTTTTTATGACGTTAAAACGACAGTCAAGTTGAGAAAAGGAAATCCTTTTTCGTTGCAATATGCTTTTTCATTTTTTAAACTTATATTTATTTATGCTTATTAAAAAATTCTCGGAAAGAAATGATGTTGATTTGGAAGAATCTTGCAATCTCGAAACGGACAGATTTAACGCGAATTTAATTCTTATCACGTATATTCGCTACTCGATTACTACGACTTGTGGCCAGGAAGTTTGATAAAACTACCACATCCTGAAAAGTTAGAATAATTCTGATATACTCTTTAGCCGCACTAAATCGCTCGCATCGTGACGGTTGTGCGGCAACACAATTGCGCAATAATACAGTTACAAGTTCAGAAGAAGAATTGCAAGTAACACCTTGCGTGCGGGAATCGATTTATTATCCATTTCTCTCTCAACACAATGGAATACTAACAGGACAGTACGACCGAAGAAAAGTACAACGTACGTACGGGAGAAGATAGTAAAATCTGTCGAATCCACGAAGGTGCGATGACTACCAAGCTCGCAATCAAGCACAAAGACTCGCTTGCTCTGAAGGAGAACAGGCTGCACGGAAAGAACTACGTGATCCACAGGCAGTCCAGTCTAAAGAAATGCGAGCACCTGTCATTTCCCTGGACAACCCTGTGCGTGTTCTTGGTTTACTGGCTCGTCCTCTGCCCTCTAATTTGGGCCATATGCTACGTGTTCGCGTACTGGCCTTCATATTGGTCCTTCATCTTCTGGACAGTCGCGTTTCTAATCTGGATCGTCATCATGTGCGGACTGATAATCTTTTGGAGGCGCCTCCAAGTTAAACAAAGCCTGGAGCTCAGCGCGATCTCCAAGTACGGCTCGGATAATGCGAGGAGACCTCTGAGCGTCCACCAGATATTGTCTGCAGACGCGGAGTTTCTCGAGAAGGGGCGGAACGATTCAGAAGCTAAGAAGAGCGACCGAGAAAATCTCAGGAAGGACCTGCCACCCTTGGTGATACATAAGCAGTTATCTGGCGAAAACATTGAGGACACCGCTGGAGTGGTACGCTTCGAGGAAGATGAGAGAGCTCGCTTGAGCACCGTCAGCAGGGACGCCGAGAAGAGTCCCTTGCAGGATTATCTGAAGCTGGTGACGGTATCGCCCTTGGAGGACGAGGTCAAGTCCCCGAAGACGCCTATGTCGCCGAGAGAGTTATTCTTCATCGATCTGATCCGCGAAGCGGAGAGGGTCGAGAGCGCCAAGTCGATGAAGACGAGAACACATTTCTTCCCGAGTGAAGCGACCGAGAGCGATAACGCGGACACCGTGACGAGTACAGAGGACGGAGAGAATAGGACGGAAAATGTACAGTACAGAGGGAGCGCAAAAAACGTGGAGAACGCGAAGGATAAGAACGATTGGGAAGCAGATGAGCCGAGATCGAAACGCGAGTCAAGTTACTTCATAGCCGAAGTGGAGAGTCCGACTAGCGAGAAAACAGAGGTCTTCCTTCAGATCCTCTCGAGCGAGGGTGAAGAGACGGAACCGATTGTGGAGAAACCGATGCTGCTGTTGCAATCCCTTGAGACGAATTCGCAAGAAACTTCCACTTCGCCGAGCTAACTAAACCACCAAAGACTGTTGCCTGTGACAATCAATTTAAAAGCTCAAGATATGTTCTAAGCGAAAAAAAAGGATTGAAGTTTTTGTTCAAGGAAAAATTGCCGTATAAATAAAGGATGCCAGAAACGATAAAAGTGTTGGGCACGTTAAATCCTACCTCGTTCTTTTCTTACGAAAGTTATGATTATTTTTTTAAAACACTAAAGTAATAAAAATCATAAGGCTCACACGTGATAAACACAAATTTGAAGGAACACGGACTAAAGAGCCGTGACAGGATGTTAGTGTTTAAATAATTCTTATTTAAATTTATTGCGAAAAATATACCCTCAATCAGGGTTTTGAACCTGGACCTCCCTACTCACTAGGCGGGCGTCTCAATTCGACCACTGAGGTATGCGATGATATTTGTCGCAATAAACAGACTGAGGCTGGTATTACATTTGTTGTACGACAAATTTTTCGAGCGCGTTTCGATCAGCTGCAGGATAGCAAAGTTGAGTATCTAAAAATTTTCTATCCTGTAGCTAATCAACACGCTTAAAAAATTTGTCGCGCGACAAATGTAACAGTACTCTAACGTTATTTCCCGAATGCCACATATCGTGACAGTTCGAAATGAGAACTGCGTGCCGACTTAAATCGTCAGTCTTGAAACACAAGACAATCAAGTGTCTCCATTATTACCCTCCCACCCGCCCGATAACTTTTTTTTTCTTTGAAAGTAAAGAAAAATGCATTACGCATTCAACACCGAGCCCCGCACTCGGTAGATATGTTGAGCACCCCGTTAAGCGACACTATCAGCGTAAAACCCCTCTCGTTAGATCGACATCCGCACACAAATGCGCCCCCTCCTACTGGGTAAACGCCGGTGAGGGCGACGTTATGATTATTATTACATTATTATTACATTGTGTATTCACGTGCAGTGACGTGCATTATTACACATATTCATATCCTACAATCAATATGGAATGAACCGATGCGACATAAAATTTTCCGACGCCAAAAATTTTCAAGTACCGCCTCTTTTCAGATGAATGCTGCTTGCTGCCAAATCAAATCATGATTCCACAGTTGCACCAAAGCAACAGCATAACCGCCGTAGTCTCTCCGATTTTGTTCTATCAGAACCTCCCGTTACAGGTAAAACTTGCGACGTCTGCATATTCATAAAAAGAAAAGAAAAGACAAGGATACTGTTAGAACTATTAAAAAAACCACTCAAACTTCATTAATTTATATACACATGACGCATAAATATTTACTCATTCTTGCCATTTTCTTTGTGATTGCAGCTGGAATATGGAGTGGAGCCCGAGCAACTGGTTTTTACGCCTGAGATAAATTCCGTCGAAGGTTGTATGCACAGCGGACAGATCGTGGACACGATACGGCACTTGTATTTAGGGAAACAACCGCTCCTGGTGAAGCAATGCACGAGGTATTATCGATTTATAGAGCTTTTCATGCTGATTACCTAATTAATAAAAGAATGTAATAAATTAATCGATCAATCTTTGTTGCACTTCAGCTTACGTGCGATAGAGAAGTGGAGTTTGGTTTACAATTATAGCCTTGCCTCATACACACACACTCATTCATTCCTCCATTCCTGCACCGCGTTCTGTCCCTAACTTCTACGTGAGCCTCTATCCATCTTACTTAATTGTACTATTTAAACTTACTTTTACCCTATCCTACTCCATACTCCTTTGACTTCGTTATCCTCTTCTTGCTTCTTTCATCCCTTTGCCTCTTTGTGCAGTACAACTTCTCTTCTTTACCCATTCCCGTCGAATGCGATATCAGCTTCTCATGCCAAGACGCCGCTCTCTAACGGTCCTCAACTAAATTCATATCTTTTCTTTCTTCCTTGTACTGTCTTCTACTCCCCCTGCCGTATTCTTCTCCTTCCATTTCCTCTCTCTGCATAATATAATAAAAATACATATATAACATATACACAGTCCAATATAATGTCTCTATATATATATAGCTTTATATGGTATATAATTCTTTTTATTGTTTTATCGTTAGATGCGGCGGTAAGGCCCAAGTGCAAAACTCGACGAGGACAGCTGCGCTCAGATCCTGGGATCAACGGTGGACGCGAGCTTGCCGATGCGGCGGTATCTGGCGAATTCACAGAGCCTCTTAATGAAGGGCACTTAAAAAAATGTTTATAACGATAAAGAAATGATCATTAATTTTTTAGGGATTCTTCCATTACAAACCGTGATACTACGATCTTAAAGATTCGTATAAAAGAGGGCGAGCGACTTGGAGGATGTACACTACGGAGTATGTATAAAAAATATGAGCACATGTCTATCTACACGCGTATAACTTGCTTGGGGTCAAAGCTGGTCAACAGCAAGGGTTTACCTTTTGCAACTTGTGGCGTTGTCGTTTTGAATAGTTCTATGGATTAAAGTGAGAGAAGACACAATAGCGCAAGCGAGAAAACAGATATAAACCTCAAAGCAATGCGATTGCCGTAACTCCTAAAGAACCCCGCACTAATCATATGTATAGGAAATTGGATCTCGGTTAAATTGGCTAGTTTTCACATATGTTGTAGCTTATGACCTGCTGAACAAAAAATGTAATGAGCTCAAACTTAAATAATGGCTAGTTACTGGGCTACAGCCACTCAAACATAGAAAATTTGGGCTCCGCGGGTCTTGTTTGGAAATACTTTGAAGCATATTAGGAAAAAATGTTTCAGACAAAAGTTGTTTGGTTCGAAGGGAGACATAAGACGATGCCATTGACCTTGGATAATCATTTGAAGGTCACACGAGGGTCAATTTCAATTTCTTAAATGGACACCCATTTTTCACTGCACATTTTTATGTCAGGAGTTTTTCAGAGACACTATATAATGAAATATAGTCTTATTTCGAACCAAACAAATATATATCGAACCAAACAACTTTCAAAGTATTTCCAAACAAGATCCGCGGAGCCCAAATTTTCCATGTTTCACTGGGCTGTAGCTCTAGTAACTAGCCATTATTTTCCATGTTTGAGCCCATTATATTTTTTGTTCAGCAGGTCATGAGCTACAACATATGTGAAAACTAGCCAATTTAACCGAGATCCAATTTCCTATATGATTAGTGCGGGGTTCTTTCCATATTTTTAGGGTCATGTTGAAAGACGGTGTTCATACCGCTTATACATACTTCATAACGTATACTAGGAATCACTGATGCCTTCCCATACGAATTTAGGCACAGGTAGAACACATACATTTTCCATGTATGTATACGCAAAATGTGTTACTATGTGCCTAAAATCATATGGAGAAGCTTCAGTGATCCCTAGTGTACGTATATACTTTTAACAAAGAGATAGAAACTACATGTGTTCAAACAATCTACCTGCCAAGTTAAATTTACAATCGAGTGATATTTTGTTTGTTGTACGAAATAACTCGAAGCAGGGATTACTCTGTTGTCAGCGTTGCCAGCGAGTAGAATTCTGTAACTTGGTTTTTTTTTCAATACACTCAAAATTAGGGAAAATATGAGAACGGTGTAAAGTTTTGAACAATGTTTTGTGCGAATTACCTCGTCAAGTATTATCCAGAAAGATAGAATGTATCAATTACAGACGAGCGTTTAAAAATGAATTCGATTGCATCTCGCCGAAGACTCGTCCTTTGTAGGTTAAGCGTAAACCCAAACTGTAAAAATGTTCTCATATCTGATAATGGAGTGTAAGATATTTGATAATAGATTGTAAGATCTATTATTAATTTCATGAATTGTGTGATAATAAATTATTGTACGAGCAAAGTTATTGCGATACTGAAATAAGTTTTTATTTTCTCGTTACATCGGTTTTACTCTGTAAGAAAAAAAAACCCGGGGGAATGTTAGTAGGCAAATCGAAATTCCTGGTGATATCCTTATACATTATTGTTGCAGGAAAGTCCGTCTCAATGGCTTTCCCCCTTCTTGCCGGATACTCTCTTGAATTCTCCCATGTTGGTAGTCGAGATTGGTGTGCCGATTATGACTAGATGATCGATTCTCGTTGTTTCCGAGCCACTCTGATTGTCTGCCACAAAGATTTGAAGATTCTGCACATTCTGGAACTTGACGTAGCGCAGCGGTACCGGATTTCCCTCCTCGACGTCCTTGGCTGATAATCTGCAACCGAAGTTGCGCGTATTAATTTTTTTACCTCGTTAGAAAAAAGTAAGGGAAATTCTGTTTTAACATCACGCTAAAAGCAGACGATTAAATATTAGAAATTTATCTTAACCGTTGCGCACGTGAAGAAGAGGTTTTGGAGAAATATTTTTTATCGTTCGTTAAATCCGTCCGATGTTTTCAACAATTTCGTAGAGATACTTTTTCTTTTTATATTCTATGTCAACTTGAGTATATCCTGGCAGATTGTCCAAGGCTTACGTTAGATCTTGAGTACTCGTGTTGGAGCTGGCCATTTCAAAATCGATCGTCCTGGGCTGGTTGATGAACAGTTTGATATTTTTCGGCCCAGTTTCCGTAGGCGCTTTGAACTTGAGCGAGTGAACCTTAACAGGCTGCGAGAATGTGATCGACATTATCAGCTGTTCGTCTTCATCGCTCTGGAGATACCCACTGTCCGCCGAGTTCAAACACTGAGGGAAAGTATGATAGTCGGACTCGTTTAAACACTCGCACTGCTGCTTCATTATAAAACTGGACAGGTCCATCTGAAAAAGAAACCCCGAAAGTTCTTGAGTCAATCATTAACGAGAAAAAGATCGAACAAATTTCGAAGTAAAGCGCTAAAGGTTCAAACTCGGCGACGCTGAGATTCGCTAAAACAATCTTTACGAGACACAACTAAGACAACGAAAAAAGGATGAAAGATTGAAAAACTTGCCCGGAAATGTATCTAGAGATTTCGTTCAATCTATTTGATGAGAATAAACTACAATCTTTTTACATTTATCTTTTCTTGAACTCGTCTCCTGAAATTACTTCTGAAAAACTATCTGAATTTTAGTATTCTGCTTGTCTAATTTGTTTTTGACGTAAATATAGTTGGATTGTGCAAAATATCTACAGGATTTGTACAATTGCCGCCTGAAATTTTGCTGCTTTTTTTTCTCCCAGCTGCAGGTCTTTAAATATTTTTTCCACCAATCTCTCATTTTAATCCAGTATAATTTTTTCATAAAAAAAATCCAATTCTTTGCAAATCTGTATTTAGACACGCGTCGCGTAATTATGACAATTAGTATAGTTATCTTATCAATCTTCCATTCCTTCATCATTTGTCAAATTACTAAATTGAGAGATTTATTTATCGCGCTAGGTGGGATTATTTAGATAAAGGTTATTAAATCACACAAGCGTGCAAGTATCAAAGTTGTATTATTTTCAGTACAATATCTTTCGGATATATACATTAACAATATTTTATAATTAAATTGAAAGAAAGAGAATGACTAAAAGCTAGAAGCAAAAAGTCTTCAAGTTGTATTAAAAAATGCAAAATTATAGAAATATACTTTAAGAATAACTGAAGCTTAATTCTATCGAATTTAATTATTTAATTTTCATCAAGTTTATATATTTTCCCCTCAGGCCAATAACTTTCGTACTATCATTTAAATCTAAAACTCTTATAAACTCATTCTTTTGAGGTCTGATTTTTATTCAAACAACATAAAGACGGTATATAACTTTTATACGTTTGATCGTGTGGATGCTTGAACACCATAACAAGTTCTGTTCCCACTTAACGTAAATCACATAGACGTGGTACTTTGATATTTGCATAATCCAAAAGTTTAGCGCGCCCTCAACAATCCCACTTTTTCCAACTATAAGGAAATTTAACTTTTGCACTGCAACGTGGCCAAGTTGACAAAAATAATCTCGATTGTTATCACGTAATTTTTCTCACGGTTTCCTCTCGACAAAACTGGAGATACACGCGAAATTTCTCGCACAAAGTAACGTATGCGTCGAACTCGGGTCTTTTTAAAGTTAATAAATAACTTTTGGAATATCTGTCTGACAAAATTTGCCAAGCAGACCAATATAACCGAATGTCTGTATCGTAAAGTTCCATATTACGATTTTGTCTTTCCGAATCAATCAAATGTTTACAAATTAATGCTCTCCGTAGGTTCTCCCGTTACCGACTACACTGTGATCACGAGGAGGCGAGACAAATTTTGCGAGACAAAAAAGATTTTCTGTTCCACGCACACACGGCTAAAATAAAAGAGAACGCCGATTAAGGCTGATGGCAGAGAACAATTCGTAAACGCTTAAGACTGTCTCAGGTCGTAGACGTAGGGCAAAGCAGAGAGAAACGTAAGTCGTGAAAGGCTGTTGAATATGACTTACGTTTCTCTCTGCCTTGCCCTACGTCTACGACTGAGACAGTCTTAAGCGTTTACGGATTGTTCTCTGCCATCAGCCTAAGAGATCTTAACAATATACTTTAACAATAAACTTCACAACAGGAATACTGCCTCGCGCAAAATGGACACAAATAATTGTCGTCCCAACGACGAGGAGAGAAAAGTTGGCTAGATATGAAGTTATAAACAGTCGCCAAGTTAAGTTTCGAAAGTACAGACATAAAGATCTCGTTCACAGGTACAGTTTCTAGAGAAGAAGTAGAATAATTATGAAGGAAGCGCGCGACGCCGGTTTTGCCGTCAAACCGAAATGGCCAGATTAATTTCCGTGCGAGAGAGAGAGAGAGCTCGCCATTCCGCTTGCCACGCACGAGCGGGCAGCCCTTTCATTGGTACTTATTCCAGTAAAACAGAACCGCGGCGAGAACGATCATCCCGAGGATGTGGTAATAGGCATTGTCGGTGTTTCGTACATGGCCGGGCAGGGAGTCCGCGACCGAGTCGTCGGCGGCGTCGTCGGCGTCGCCGCCGCTGCCGTAGAACTGCTGGATCTTGGACTCGAGCCCCACCGGGTCCGCACCTTGGCAGTGGCCCAGCCGCGCGCGCCTGCGGTAGAAGATGAAGGTCGGCATCGCGCTGACGTCCTGCGTCGAGGCGGTGTCCGCGCACTTGTCCACGTCCACCTTCAGGAACACCGCCCTGGGATACTTGAGCGACAGTTGCTCGAATATCGGGGCGATTCTCTGGCAGGGTCCGCACCTGCGCAAAATCAAGCCGGGGGCGAGAGCGACCGCGTTAATCGTCGTAAACCTGGAGCGCTCTCGGGCGCGATAGAGCCAGCGGGCGAATAGATGTTAATGAGAAACATAACATAACCTTGACAAAAGGGGGGAAAAAAGGTGCTCACCAACTCGCTGTGAAATCCACGACGACGAGCTTCTGACCGGCGTTGGCCAGCTCGCCGTTGAAGTGGCGATCGTCGTTAATTATTCGCACCGCTCCCATTATTCCGATCAGTTGCCCGATTAATTACATTAAATGCGCGCGAACCAAACCGTCCGTCGCCCGCCGCACGGAACTATCCAAGAACCGTACCAATTCAGGAATGACTTGACAGTTTACATGTCCAGCACTGACAAGGGAAGTCCACAGACTTGTGGAGAGCCAATCAAGGCAGAGAATTCGACTTGGCCAGTCACGATGACGCACGGATCGTGTCGGCCAATCGCTGCGTTCAGGTACCATTTCATGCGCAGCATACTGCCGCAGCAACTCGCTGCTATTGGTTGAAGAATTGTTACTAGATGCTGCAAAATAAATTTCACCATATTTTGCTTCATCGCTGTGAAGTTCAATTGAACGAACAGCAAAGCAGCAGACACGCGATCTAGCCGGCCAGTGCTGCTGCAGCTATTCCTTTTCCGTGAGCAGCAAATATGCTGTAGTGAATTTGGATCACGTGACTAATTTGCTGCTGCTGCAGGCTGCGTATGAAAAGGCACCTTAAGAAAATCAACAGGTTGGATTTGCTACTGCTTGCGTCATTGCCTTACGTTCTCGACTGTGATTGGTCGATTTTCTTATGCTTACGTTTTACGTCCTTACGGAATTTTATGTGTGAAGGCCTTTACACAGTGTCGACTTGTAGCTGGAACATGGACGTAAATTAAATGAATATATGGACGGAACGTTAGCTTAGCGGGGAGTCAGCTTCGCGGTAATGCCCATTCTACACCTAGGGATGATCCTACTTGTGGCTCATCCGATACTCGCTTCTATACCTAAAGCTAATCCTACTTACAGCTTATCCGAGGAAGTAGTATAAAGTGTAAAAGGTACACTGTAGTTGTACTTTGGTACGATTGGAAACCAACCAAAGTGTAAACCTTTTACACTTTAAGGTGCCATTTCATGCAGCGTCAAAGCGCTGGATACAGTTCCCCCACTCTGTCTCCCTCGATCGACGCGCATAAAGTTACCGTCACGGTCGTTTTGTCGCTTGAAGTTCGAAGTGGTTCAACTTCAGCGAAAAATAGCCGTATTTAAATAGTTTTGTTTCGTTGCAAGAAAAATGAATTTCAACGACGGCAGTGAACATTGGAACGAAGTTAGTAGATAATGTGTTATTAATATTAATTATTTAATTAAATTGTAGAGGTTACGGTGACACGTTTGTAATCACTTGGCGCGAGACACTACCGTGTCTCGTGATATTTGATACATTGTTCTCACTGTCCTCAGAGCTTGCAAAGCTTAATTAATTAATGGAATTAATATAATATTTTATATTTTACAGGAAAATGAAATCGTTCACACATGTGGACTGTGCGAGATGGTTTGCATGGCCAATGAAATACAAAGCCACCCATGCCTGGAGTCTTTT